CCACCGAGCTGCGGCTCGATTCGCACCCGTGCCTCGAGGTGACGGCGGCGGCGCTGCGGCGGCAGCGGCCCGGCCTGGAGGAGCCGCCCTCGGAGCCCGTGCCCTTCCACACGGAGCCCTTTTCGCACTACGGCCAGGCCCTGTGCGTGGCCCTCCCGCAGCCCTGCCCGGCCGGCGAGCGCTTCCAGCTTCTGCTCACCTACCGCGTCGGGGAGGGACCCGGGGTGAGTTCGACTCCGGGGCCCAGCCCCGCCGCGGCCTCTCCCGGCCGCTTCCTACCCGCCCTTCCTGCCTCGGAGCCGGTCCCCGGACCTGCACTAATCCCCACCCTCAAAGAGAGAGAAGATGCTTCCGCCTTTGCCCGGAGGGGGCCCGGAGCTTCCCGTTGCACGCCTCTCGCCCTCCCACCCTCAGCGCCCTCTCTTCCTTCCAGGCTGCTCCGCTTTCCCTCTTCTGGCTTCCGGCCAGCCTCCGAGCTGTGCACTCTTCGTCCTTTCCACCCTTCCTCCCTCTCCCCGCCCAGGGGTTCTGGTGGCATCTCCACGTTGTTTCCCTCTCGCACACCGCCCTGTCTGGTTGCTCTTTCTGCCTGCCGAGGAAACCCTGTCCTGTGCAGCTTTCGGGATAACCGGCTATTTATATCGAATTTAACGTTTCGCGGGGCTTTGGGGCCTAGGTCCCTGATAAGGAGCTACTTAGTTTTCCTTTTACGGCAGCCCTGGACCCTGCCGGTTAATTAGCCCTGGGTGCTGACTCAGCCCTTTGTCCGTGTGCTCTTGCGGTGCCACAGGCTGAAATAACTCTGAACCCCAGAGAGTTACTTTTGCTTTCTTCTGCGAAGTCCCAGATTTGTTTAATTGAAGAATTTGAGTAAAAATGAGAACTAGAATTAGGGTGTTCTAGACTTTGTAATAAGTTGGCCCTGTTATTATTCTTGATTGACTCTTATTGATTAACTCTTAAATATTACATTTTGGGGTGGTGGACAGATATTGGTATTTAAATAAAAGGATGGATGGTTATGTGGCTTACATTTGTAAGAGTTTGGAACTCCTTCATAAAGAGTCCTGAGGCTGTGGTTGCTAGTCGTTTCTCAAGTAGGGTGGGTTATACGTTTCACGGGTAGGCTGCTTGCCTACAATCAAAGTTTTCTTATCTAGCTAGCAGTTCCTTTCACTCTTAGAGCTGCCCCAAAAGACAGTTCTGTTTCCATCTTTATTCAGGGAATAAATGAACCTGTGATAGAACTTGTTTAAAGAATGAAAAGTCCAAACCTCTAAGGCAAAGGAAAAAACCCAGTGCCCTCAAAGGATAACATAATATCTTTAAATGTGTTTGGTTGCCCTGTTACATGCTAGCTTCTGGTTTGGGGCAGGAACCAGGAATTAAACAGGATCCCTGGAAAAATTAAGCCCTCTCTGAAATTGCCTACTGAAAATGGCACCTCAAATTAAACATCCATAGTAAACAGCTTTCATTAGAGACTAAGAGCAGACACCCACACTTTGCACTGTGAAGGTCGACATTAAAGTCACCTGTATTTATTCCTTCTTCTCATTGCCACCATCCCAAGTGAGGGCTCTCACCTTAATCACTGTAGGTAACAGCCTCACCCTGACTTAAGACTCTTTCTTACAGAGCGGAAATACTTGTACTACCAGGCTCCATTTTCTCCTTTCTGTCATTATAAACAAAAAAAGGCATTAAGGTATGGTGGAGGGGATGACCAGTATTTATTAAAATGTGCCAGGTACTAGTCTATGTGCTTGACAAAAGTTAAATGAGTTGTCTTTATGGAAGTGCCTAATACAGTGCCTGGTACCTACTGAATACTATGTGTTAGTCTTATTGTTAACTCATTAAATTTCTCTCAATAATAGGATTAAAGACAGTTTAGGGGTGCTGGGTGGCTTAGTCGGTTGACTCTTGATTTCAGCTTGGGTCATGATCTCAGGGTTGTAAGATTGAGCCTTGCCCCGAATTGGCCTCCGTGCTGGGTGTGGAGCCTGCTTGAGATTCTTTATCACCCTCTCTCCCTGCCCCTCCCCCACCAAAGGATTAAAAAACAATTTAGATTATTTTTTTAAAAGATTTTTATTTATTTATTTGACAGAGAGAGAGATAGCGAGAGCAGGAACACAAGCAGGGGGTGTGGGAGAGGGAGAAGCAGGCTTCCTGCCGAGCAGGGAGCCCGATGTGGGACTCGATCCCAGGACCCTGGGATCATGACCTGAGCCGAAGGCAGACGCTTAACGACTGAGCCACCCAGGCGCCCAACAATTTAGATTAACAAGAAAAGTGAGCAGATAGTACAGAGTTTCCATATACCCTTCCACATACAGATTGCTCTATTAGCATTTTGCAAGTATGATATATCTGTTAACAATGAACCAATATTGATACAGTATTATTAACTAAAATTCATAGTTCTTTTTTTAAGGTTTTTATTTATTTATTTGACAGAGAAAAAGAGAGAGCTGCAGCAGAGGGAGAAGCAGTCTCCCCACTGAGCAGAGAGCCCGATGTGGGACTTGATACCAGGACCCCCGGGTCATGACCTGAGCTGAAGGCAGACACTTAACCAACTGAGCCACGCAGGTGCCCCTGAAGTTCATAGTTTTTTTCAGATTTTCATAGGCTTTACTTAATACCTTTTTCTGTTCCAGGGTCCCATCCGGAATACCACAGTATATTTAGCTTTCATGTATCCTTAGGCTCCCCCTTGGCTCTGACAGTTTCTCAGACTTTACTTGTTTTTGATGACCTTGACAGTTTTTCTTTTTTTTTAAAGATTTTATTTATTTATTTGACAGAGAGAGAGAGAGAGAGCGTGCACAAGCAGGCAGAGTAGCAGACAGAGGGAAAGGGAGAAGCAGGCTCCCCTCTGAGCAAGGAGCCTGATGCGGGACTCGATCCCAGAACCTAGGGATCATGACCTGAGCCGAAGGCAGTGGCTTAACCAACTGAGCCACCCAGACACCCTGACCTTGACAGTTTTGAGGTGTATTGGTCTGATATATTGTAGGATGCCTCTCTATTGGAATTTGTCTGTTTTTTGCATGATCAGACTGGGGTTATTAAAAAATTTTTAAGAAGTTTATTTTTTACAGCAGTTTTAGGTTCACAACAAAATTCAGTGGAATGCCACAAAGGTAAAGTTCTGTCTTCACATCATATTGCGAATACACAGTATCAACATGATTTGTGACTGTTTGAAGTTGACCTCACTCATCTGGCTGAAGTAGTGCTGGTTTTTCCACTGTGGTATTTCTTTCTCCTCCTTTCCATCTGTACTGTACTCTTTGGAAGGAGGCTCATTAAAATTTTCACACCACACAAAAGAAACTCAAGCAAAGAAAAAGCCAACATCTCCATGTGGCGTCTTTATGCCTCTTAAAAGTATGTCTCAAATACTTGTGTTCAAAGCATTTCAGTCCACCTGCCGAGGCATGCCTCCCACCTCTGTATCTGAAACCTACCCCCAGTTCCCAGAGATCGCCCATCCATGCCTTTTTTCACGCTGCTACCTACCTCTTTGAGAATGTCTTCTTTCCTTTCCAACCATCTCAGTCCTACTCACCTTTAAACCAGAAAGTTTGGCTTCCGCTATGAAACCTTGCCAGAGTTAATCTAATCCTTTTCTAAATTCTAAGTGGTATTTGGTGCTGACATACCCTCCTCCCCCTCACAGTTAGTATGTTATAAGTGAACTTTTTGCGGTAGGCAAAAATTGGGTTTGTAATAATCATTCAGATTTGCCTTTGGTTACAGGCTGACAGAAAACAAATTAAGACGTATATATAACCGGGGTGCCTGGCTGGCACCTGGTAGAGCATGCAGCTCTTGATCTCGGGGTTGTAAGTTTGAGCCCCACGTTGGGAGTAGAGATTACTTAAGAATAAAATCTTGAAAAGATATTTAAAAAATTATATATATAGCCAGTACCTATAATGTAAAATACATTTATTCTGAATGGGTAAGTTTCAGGAATGGAGAACACATATTAATCACAGACTCCTCCCACTTCCCTTCTGCTTTTCTGTGCCGTTTACTGCAAGTTCAAATACAGCTGCTTCTCAATTGGTTTTTGTTTGTTTTTTAATGAGAAACCACTACAGTGTGCGGGACTCAGGGGAGGAAGACAGGATGCCAGGGTCAGAGGCCATGTCTGGAATTCTTGAGATACCTAGTGGGATACAGTGGGGAATAGACCCTTTGTGGTGTTTCTACCATGTGAGGTGGGCGTCAATACGTTGGCATGGATTCCAGGGTGGATTAAATACACAGTAGGAGAGAACTTCCCAGTCAGGACCAAACTGCTGGTAGGATTATAAGGATTACCTAAAATTCTCCCCTCCCAGCCAACTCCTTTTCTCTGGCTGGACTGAGCTCATGTAGGGGGTGTCAGTTTGGAAATGTTCTTCTATTCTCTTAGGTTTGCTGGTTGGCTCCTGAGCAGACAGCAGGAAAGAAGAAGCCTTTTGTCTATACCCAGGGTCAGGCTGTCCTGAACCGGGCCTTCTTCCCTTGCTTCGACACTCCGGCAGTGAAATGCAAATATTCAGCACTTATTGAGGTAAGAGGATTAAGGTTAAGTACCTGCCCTTGGGATTGAATTTCAGATCTATCTAGTCACATTTCAACTGGTAAATTGTTACATCCATCCAGCGGTACCTCTGCAAAATTCCTCCATGTACAGAAATTTTATTTGTGCTAAATTCCATCAGCTTAGCACAAGTTTAGTTTCTTGAAACCTTTGTGTTCTCCAAGACAGGCTCCCGGTCGTGGCTGTCACCATGCAGGTTGCCCGCCATGCTGTTCTTAGTGCGAATCAAAAGGAGACTCCGGGTAAAATCTCCTAAGCTTTGTCTCTTGTCAGGTCCCAGATGGCTTCACAGCTGTGATGAGTGCTAACACCTGGGAGAAGAGAGGTCCAAATAAGTTCTTCTTCCAGATGTGTCATCCCATCCCCTCCTATCTGATAGCTTTGGCCATCGGAGATCTGGTTTCGGCTGAAGTTGGACCCAGGTAGGAGACAAAGACCTCCACAGGCAAGGTCAGACTGACCTCAAGGCAAGGAGGCCTCTGCTCAGTGGCCCAGCTGGGATGGTTCTTGGGACAGTCTTGCATCTGCTCTCAATGGACAGCCTTTCTGTGGCCCAGAAGTGAAGCGTGTGGCATGAGTACAGCGGGAGGAAGGGCTTTCCCTGCTCCCCCTCTGCTTCTCCTCCTGCTGTCTGGAATGAGGTCATCAGTCCTGCTAACAGCAGTAGCTGCTGTCCTGGGCCACCTTGTGGAGTGCGGTTGGCACCGAAGCAGAAGTTTTAGAAGACTCATCTTTATCACTATCTTTTAGTTCTGAATTCCCTTCTAGCTGTTATATTTGCTTTTTAATCTTTGTACCAAATCTCCCCTTTTTCTCTAGCATGTAATTCCCGGAAATATACAACTTTGATCTCCTTGTTCCCCTGCAGAGAGGAAAGTGGGAGATCCTTCTTTGTCTGCTCCAGATACATACACCTGAACCCATGGTGGCAGAGATACCTCCGTGAAATTAGATGGGTTTAATGGAGATGAATAAGGCTTTTGTAAGGTTTCCTGCTAAAAGAAACCTGACCAGGCGTGTCGGTTTTTTCCTGGCTCTTATATTATCTGCCAGTACAGCATAATCCTGCAGTAAAATGATCAAAGGCTGGACAGTAAGCTGTGGCGCTTTTCCCGGCTCTGCTGCTATGGCCCTTCTCTCAGGTCCTAGAGGCGGTGGTGACCTTGACCGCATTGGTTACAGGCATCAGACCTCATAGCCGAGCTCAGTAGCACTGTTAAGATCATGAATCTTAGTTCCTGGGCTTCAGAGAGAATAAGAGATGGGATGCCATTGGCATCTGCTTCCAGCACACACACTCAAAACAGTACTAGTTTTGAAAGACTAGGTGCTCTCCTGCCACGAAGGGCAGTCTTTCTGACAGAGTGGGTCGTACATAACCAAAGGAGCGTCAGCATTGCAGTTGACCGGAAAGTAGATAAGTAAAGGAGTTATTTTAGAGAGTTTACTCTTACTAAGGTTCTGTTAGTAAGAGTATAAACTATTTATTTTATTTTTTATTTATTTTTTTAAAGATTATTTATTTGAGAGAGAGAGAGATCACGAGCCGGGGGAGGGGCAGAGAGAGAAGCAGGGTCTCCACCAAGTAGGGAGCCTGATTTAGGACTCTACCGCAGGACCCCAGGATCATGACCTGAGCCGAAGGCAGATGCTTAACCAACTGAGCCAAGTCCTTGCCTTTTGGGGGAACATCTTAGGGTCTTGTGAAGGTATGTTAGTTGAGAGGGTCTTCCGGCAAACTTTGCCCCCAGTCCCAGTTACCACGGGAGGAAAATCCTGGGCAGAAGAGATAGTGGATATGTCCTAGTCATGTTTTATGTATAATCTCTTCTAATCCTTACGTAACCTCACTGAGGGGGTTACTGTTTTCTCCCTCTTGTGGATAAAGCTAACTGAGGCTTCTGGTGGAATTACTTGTGCAAAGTTACATCATTGGCAGAACTGGAATTCCAATCCAGGCATTTCTGTGCAGAGCCAGTGCTTGTTGCGCTAGACTACCGGCAATAAAAATCCAGCCTGACGGAGAACATTCCAGTTTCTTTAGACAGAAATCTCTGTACTGGAGTAAGTATCTCGGATGCCCCCTGTCTAGCCTGGCCTTCATCTTCTAGTTGTAGCAAGCTGAAGTAGCCTGGGTTGAAGGACTTTGCTAGTTGTGATATCCAAGCTGATCACAAAGCAATTCCTTGAAGACTTTGACACCTTTGTCATGGTCTTTTCTCAGCCCTGTCACATCATTTTTGGTGACTTTTTTTCTCCATCTGGATTACCTGTCCGCATGCCAGGGATGAAGGGATGAGGGTGGCTTCAGGGTTCCTCAGCCTCCTCTACTCAGGGACCCTCTCCACCTGATCCAGCCCCCCACACTCATGGGCACACACTCTACAATCTAGGGCCTCGCCGTGGGCGTTCGCATGAGCTGTGCTGTAGCAGAAATGTTAAATGCCTTTGCCTCATTCATTCTCTGACCCCATGCCCTGTGCCCCTAACCTGCCGGCCCCCTGGTGACCTCACTCTCGCTGTATCTGCTTCTTAAGCTAACTGAGGCCTTTCTTCCTGCAAGCTGTGCGTTTCCTCCTGGGCAGCCGCCTCTCGTGGCCGGGCCCGTCTTTTCTCTGTGGCCCAGGTGTGGGGTTGATCTTCTCTTCCTGACACAGCAGGCCGCCTTGTGTGCTTTCCTGCTGCTCTAACTTCCAGTGCTGGGTCCTGCTGTCCCCTTTCTCTACTTCTGTACCTGGGTGTCTGAGAGGAGAAGACAGCTGTGCATACTGATTCTGCTATCCATTTCTGGTATCTTGGTGAAAAGCGGGAATTGAAAGTTGACGTAGGGAAGCCTGGGTGGCGTAGTTGGTTAAGCGTCTGCCTTTGACTCAGGTCATGCTCCCAGGGTCCTGAGATCGAGCCCTGCTTTGGGCTCCCTGCTCATCAGGGAGCCTGCTTTTCCCTCTGCCCTTCACCCCTCTCATGCTCTCTCTCTCTCTCAGATAAATGGAATCTTTTTAAAAAGCTGACATTTATGTGGTTTTCAAGAAAAATAGAACAAATGTCGTCTTCAACTACAGATATGCTTTCAATATTGCTCACCAGTCCTTTATTTATCTTCCTAGCCCACTCTCCTTAAAGAATGACTCTTGTCTTCAAATTTCCTGTTCAAACACCAGATCCTCCCTCCGAGCAGATGATCTTGTCTCCTACTTTATTGAGAATATTTAATTTGTCAGATATGGTTATGTCAGCTTCCTGTTTTCCATGTAAAAAGTCATCTTCATCTGCATTCGTCCTTCCCTTCTTCCCTCTGACTCTAAAGAGGGGTGTCCATCCTTCTGTTTAAAGCCACATCTCTGCATTTGAGCCATCATTGTTGGTTCAGTCCCTCCCCAGATCTGGTGGAGCTTTGCCTCATTGTTTACCCCTCACTCTTCAGATGTGCAGCCTTCCCCCCAATTAGCTCTTTCCTTCCAACCCTAACCATGTTCCTGTTTCTTGTACCTTGAAAAAAGCAAAAAACAAACTCGTTGACTCCATGTTCCCTCTTAGCACACTACCCTGTGCTTCCCTACTTAGCCGAGTTCCTTAGAAGAGTCGTGTTTATGCTCGCCCACCGCCCACGTACTGCTTGGACCCATGGGAATCCAGCACCTCTCCCCGTCGTGCCACAGAAACTCCTGTAGTAAGAGGAGCCACTGGCCTCAGCATGTGTAGCACATTGGCTCCTCCTCAGTCCTTGTATTGGTGTCCTGCACTTTTCTTCTGCCTCTTGACCCTCCTCTGGCTTCCACGATGCAGTTCTGTCCCGGCTCCAGGACCCCCTGGCTCGTCCTTTCTGGACTCTTCTCTGCCCAGCCCCACCATGTGCTGGTGTTGCCCAGGACTCTGTTTTGGATCCATTCGCCTTTCCTCCATGCTTTTCTTGGGCATACGCACTCTCTTTTGTAATTTAAAGGTATCTTCTGGGTACTGCAGCTAGAGTGATCTCTCAGGATTCAATCTGATAATACCACTTACTGGTTTATTTTTTTTTAGGATTTTATTATTTATTTGAGAGAGAGAGAATATGAGCAGGGAGGAGGGGCACAGGGAGAGGAAGAAGCAGACTCCCCGCTGAGCGGGGACCCCGAGGTAGACTCGATCCCAGGACCCTGGGATCATGACCTGAGCCAAAGGCAGATGCTTAACTGACTGAACCACCCCGGCGCACACCACTTACTGGTTTAAAATGCTCTCATGGCTCTGAAGGTCCAGCTGTGTCACTTGGTGTATCAGGCCCTTTGTGACTGCAGCCTCGAGGGCCTCTCTACCCGTTCTTCCCCTCCCCTCCCCCAGCCCCGATCTGATGGTAAGTGCTCCAGTATCCCAGACTCTCGGTGGTTCCTCACCTGCATGTACAGTTTCCTCTCCTAGGCTCTTGCTTCTGCTCCTGGGGAAGCCCCTGCTCCTTCTCCTCCTGCTAGAACAGTTCCTGAGAGGGGCGCCTGGGTGGCTTAGTCATTAAGCGTCTGCCTTCGGCTCAGGTCGTGATCCCAGAGTCCTGGGATCGAGCCCCGCATCAGGCTCCCTGCTCGGCGGGAAGCCTGCTTCTCCCTCTCTCACTCCCCCTGCTTGTGTTCCCTCTCTTGCTATGTCTCCGTCAAAAAAAAAAAAAAGAACAGTTCCTGAGCTTCCACAGGGGCAGAGAGGACACCTTCCCTCCTCCTGGCCTGGAGCCCATCCACTTTTCTATCTTATATGCTGTCTTCTTTCATCTTCCCCGCTCACTTTACAGAGACACACTGAGGCTCAGGGAGGTCAGTGACTTTTGCAAGGTCACCTTCAATGCTGGAGACGGAACATGACGGCGCTGTGAGTTTGAGCCTGTTGCACACGGGAGGCAGCTCCTCTAGGACGCTGTGTTGGGATCTTATTTATCAGGTGTGGCGAGCAGTCTCGGACCCGTATAGGTGATCTGACCTTGCACCTCCTGTCTCTGTGGCCGGCCACACTGTCACATTCATCTGGCTCAGATATGAGACTGCCAGGTTTCTCCAGGTGCTTTTGAGATTGGGTCACCATGATAGGTCTCCAAACACCAGCCTGCTTTTTTCTGTGCTCTTGTCTTTAGGAGCCGGGTGTGGGCTGAGCCCTGCCTGATCGAGGCTGCCAAGGAAGAGTACAACGGGGTGATAGAAGAATTTCTGGCTACAGGAGAGAAACTTTTTGGACCCTACCTTTGGGGAAGGTGTGGTATCACATTGACTCTAATGTCTTCTGCTAAACTGAGTCCCTGGTTTCCCCCTCTCTTCCTTCTGGTGCTGCTTCTCCTCTCTCCCCTAGAGCCAAGTTCCGCAATCCCAGAAGTAAAGGAGAGGAGGAAGAGATAGAGGAAGGGAGAAACGAGGCCTACTTCACTGTGCTGAGGAGGG